CTTTCTTCTTTGATTAGTTACCCTAACAGCGCCTCAACTTTGTTTACTCCCCTAAACGGCCTTCTCTGCCTACCGGTTTCAACCTTAGGATGGCATAGTCTGGGCATACTTATTCGAAGAATATTTCTGTAGCAAACTTTCTAAAGATGGTTATTATAACATGATTCAAGCATGATAAACAATTATAATTAACAAGAGATTTTCAGGAATAAATTAATTTAGCTACTCATGAATATAAAATGGTATACCTGTTTTTGTAGATCTTCCGACATAGTTGATATGTTTTCCATAATTATTTAATTATATAGCTCTGATACCAATGGAGGGGGGTGGAAGCGGATTTATGAATTGAGAGTAGAGAGTAGAGAGAAGATTGTTAGATGAAGGATTGATGATTTTATTTATGAGGGGAAACCTCTATTTATACACAAAATTTACAGATTTTTGGCCAAAAATGGCCGACACATACTTTACACTTGACCTTTTTATATTCGGCCGACACAAGAAAACAAAATACTTACTATTACTACTTTACATAATGGCCTCTTCTTTATTTATGGCCGACATACACACTATTTTCTTTATGACTTTTACAATTGACTTTTTACAGCCGACACAACACGACAAAAATAAAAATTATTACTTTCTACATATGGCTGATATTCAGCCGACACAAAATTTTAACAAAATACAAAATACAAATACTTTTTTTTATTCGATTTGAACGTCTGGTATGACATTATCTTCTCCTTGACATTTTGAACATATATGGTCGGGGTATTTTTGTCCAATAATTTTGCAATATCTGGTCAATAATTCTTCCGAAATAAACCCTTTCCTTAATGCTCTTGTTGTAGGTTTTTGCTCTGGCTTGAGTAGACTAAGTATCCATTGGCGTATCTCTTTCATATCTTGTTCTCTGATTTCTTTAGAATTTGAATATATCATAACTTGCTCTCGTACATAATAGCTCCATACTGAATTTCCGTTTAAATAATTGTTAGTTAGTTCATTTAGGATAGTTGCTATTCCTATAACTCTTTTGTTGGCGTAGAATTCTGGTATCTCAATCTTTTGTATTTCTTGTTGTATTCTGATATCTTCTGGAAT